CCCCCCCCAAAAATCCCCACTCCCTCTCTCCCCAGGCTCTCTGCACTTGCTCAGAGACCTCTCCCCGCGAGTCCCCTGGTTTTTTGGGGGGTGGGTGGGAAGAAACTCCCCCACCCTCACCCCACTCCAGCCACACCTGCCTAGGTCTGCCCACCTACCCAGAAAATGAAATTGAAGCCGAAGAGCAGGTATTTGATGCACTTGGTGCCTCCTTTGAGCGGCATCGCGCCGGGCGAGGCGGAGGATGAAGTGGTGGAGAAGGCGAGGAAGAGGCGCTGGCCCCGGGGAAAGTGGCGGCGGCGGCGGCGGTGGTTTTGCTGCTCCGCGGAGTTTGAACCGGTGCTTCTCTCTCGATCTCTGTCTCTCTCTCGATCTCTGTTTCAGTCTCTCTGTCTCTCTCTTTCTTTCCAGCAGATACTCGCGGTGGTTCTTCCAGTCGAGCCTCGCCCCAGCTTCTCCGACAGCCCCAGCTCTGCCTCGCCCTGTCCTCTTTCCCTTCCTCCCCCCTGAGGGCTCCTGTCCTGCCCGGCCCTCCTCCTCCTCCCTCCTCCGGAGAGCCACACCTTTGGGCCGGGCCGGGAAGGAGGCCAAGCATGGGTTCCCTAAGCGGCATTCCCACCCCTCCTGTTATGTATTGCTTCTTGCCTACTGAAGCCTACTCACACAATCCTCCCTCCCCCTTCCCCCTCCTCTCCTCTCCCCTCCCCGCTCGGCCCGCCTGCCCGCTCCGAACCGTCTTCCCTGCGGCATCCATGCCGCCTTTACAGCATTATGGGGGCCCCGGGGCAAAGCAGTTGTGGGGGGGGGGCTACCACAACTACTCCTAGGGATAAAAAATATAAATGGTCGGTCAGATTCAACACATTATGTATTATTATTATTTTTAAAACAAGTTTTATTTTCAAGACAAACAATACATAGAATACACATAAACACAAAACATAAAAGCATAAAAAATCTCTTTTCTGAAAGTTGCTTAGTCTCAGGTTAAAACTCTTGGTACAGACACAAGTTCAGTTTCATATTCATTTTACATACCATTTCATATCTTATTAACATTTTCAATTTTCTATATAACTTCTCCTCTCCTTTAAATTTTCTCAATTTTATTTTATTATTTTTTCCTCCTCTCAATTCATATCCTAATATTTATTATTCTTTGTCTGTTCTATTCCAGCCAATCATTTATTTTTCTTCTTTAAAAAAAAGAAGAAATACTTCTCCTGTACACTATATGGAGTATGATGCCTTTATCTTTTTCCCTTATATTTATAGTACCTAATATAAAATACATAACATACATTGGGATTCTGTCTGGCACATTCTAAAATTATACTATATTATCAAAAATAATACAAATCTATTCATTAATATTGATATTCATTCATATCTTAGACGTTTAACTCATTACTTTTCAATTAAATCACATACTTTTATGAGAGCCCTATTCCCATAATTATCCCCCCCACATCACATATTATAGCTCAATATTTCATTGAAATGTTCCTCCTTCTTCTACTTCAAATCTCATTTCACAAAATTTTTTGCTAGTATACCATGTTCTAATCATTAATTTTAACAATCATTTATATCTTAAATATTTTATCCATTTCAGTTGAATATTATGCCTTTGTGGGAACACTTATGCTTTCCACGATTATTACCCCCTACATCACAATCTTGAATCATATTTCATTACAGTACTCTCTTTTTCTTAACAAAAATTTCACTTATTTATGTTAGATATTTTATCACATTTTAAGCTACATATTATTTCTAATTTTCTATAATTACTTCTAAATACAGATATAAAAATGCAATCTTATGTACCTTTCTAGAATCCCATTAACAATAAGATCTATCCATTATCTCTGAAAAACTTTTGCTTCTTAATATCTTGCTCCCCACCATTAGAGCTTCTCATCCCTTCCTTTCTCCCTTGCTTCTTCTTCTCCTTGTCCTCTTTAACCCCTTGTCTCTCCACCTCCCTTTTATTCTGCTTTCCCCCTTTCTGTTGTTTCTTAACATAATGTCCCTTTTTCACCTTATTCTTCTCTTTTTGGGCTGTTTTTTCAGATCTTAAAGACCTCTTTTCCTTTTTCTCTTGCTTTTTCCCGTCTCCAATCAAAGTCCTTTTTTCATCAAAGATGGCTTCTTCTTCTTCTTTGTCCCCATCATCCTCATTCTGCTTCGCATAAATATAAACCGCCATTTCTAAGTATTGAAAAATAGTGCCAAGTCCATCTTCCCCTCCTTGTTTTTCTCTTTCATATTTTTGATATATAAGTTCTAATCCATCCACAGGTGATGCCATTGTGTAGAGAAAAAGTTTTTCCAAACAACCACCCAAGTGCTTTTAATCAGAAATAATTTCCAAAGGTTCCAAAATCACCAAACAATCCAAACAAGCTGTTTCTTTTAGATACCTCCTTCTTCTTCACTTTTTCTTTCTGAGGTTAAAGTAATCACAAATCCTTTTCAAATATATTTTTTGGAAGTTTTTAAACTCTGCAATTCTAGGCAATCTTCTCCTTATTTTCAAATTTTGCTCTGATTTTTTTTTTCACTCTCCCTTCCCACTCACAGCCAAAAATATTTTTTTTTCCCCGCTGTCACTTTAGGAAGGAGAGTAGAACAAAGAAAAAAAAAAACTTTCCCCTTTAGGGTATTCGCAGCTTGTGGCTCTCACAAGGAACAATATATCCTTAACAGCTTTCAAGGTTCCAAATCACTTTCTCCCGTCTTGTCCCAGTTAAAAGCACCTTTCACTTTCTCCAGCTTTCTCCCTCCTGCACTTGCTTACCCGGCTGCAGCTTTCTTCGTGGCGGACATTGCTGACCGCCGTTCCTCCGCCTCAGGAAAAGGGAGTTTAGCCGGCTGGGGAGGGGGTTTGCGGCACCCCCCCAAACCCCTTGCCGGATCCCCCCTGTCTTCAGCTGCCTCTACGGGGCAGCTATATCCCCCAGATCCAAATGGATCGGGGGAACCTTGGCGGTGAACACAGCAGGGATTGCGCGGTTGCAAATCCCTGCCGCCGCCGAAGGCTAGCAAACCGGAAGTCCCCACATTATGTATTTTATTGGCACTTCCAACAAGTCAATTTGATAATTATGTTGCTGGATTTACAGGTTTACAGATAATCAGAGTTGGAAGGGGCCTTGTAGGTCATCTAGTCCAACCCCCCACCTAAGCAGGAGACCCTACACCATTTCTGACAGATAGGGGTCCAATCTCTTCTTGAAAGTCTCAAGTCATTAGGGACTTCTGTCCTCACTGTGAGTTGTGTTGGGGTGGGGGATGCACGAAGGGAAGCTTAGCCAATCTCGTACACATGTTGTACTGTGACAATAAAGGTAATAATAAGTGATGATGCTCTGACAACTTCCAAAGGCAACTTCTGTTCCATTGGTTGATTGTTCTCACTGTCAGAAAGTTTCTCTTTATTTCCAGGTTAAATCTCTCCTTGTTCAGTTTCCAACCTTTATTCCTTGTCTGGCCTTCAGATGCCTTGGAAAATAGCTTGACCCCCTCCTATCTGTGGCAGCTCTTCAAATATTGGAAGACTGTTATCCTGTCTCCCCTGATCCTTCTCTTCACTAGACTAGCCAAGCCCAGTTCCTGTAACCGTTCTTCTATGTTTTAGTCTCCAGTCCCCTGTTCACCCTGGTTGCTCTTCTCTGCACTCTTTCTAGAATCTCAACATCTTTTTTATAATGTGGTGAACAAAACTGGACGCACCTTGTATCATATAACCACTCTATAAAGCCTTAGTAAGACCACACCTGCATCCAGTTTTGTTCACCACATTTCTATGTTCTATAAACATATATCAGTTTCTATAAACATCTGTCGATTTAATTGATAAAACCCAGAATCAACGTTTCATTGTTTTCCCACCTCTAGCCCAAAGTCCAGAAGCATTTCCAAATAGAAACAAAAGTACTTATATTCTTTTCTTTGATCAAAACAGTCAATTTAGCCATCTTGGCTAACTCCATCAGCTTCTGCAGCCATCCGTCCATGGTGCGAATCAAAATATCCTTCCATTTTTTTGTCCATACTGTTTTGCTGTTGTCAACATATCTAAGATCAAAGTTCCAATATATTCCCCCCCTGTCTTTTTCCATTAAACCTAAAAGAAAACTTTCTGGTTTCATCTTAAATCTTCGTTTTAAGAATTTTTTAAAAAATATGAATCTTACTCCAAAATTTCTTTGCTTTATCCCATGTCCACCATAAATGATAAAAAGTCCCTTCTTTGCTTTTTACACTTCCAACATGCATTGGAAATACTTTTATGTATTCTACATAACTTAATCTGGTGTTAAATATCAGCGATAAATCACCATACAAACATTTCCTTTTAAATTAGAGTTTTTCACATTTATGACCACTGCTGCAGCAATCAGGTGATTTACCTTCGGAGGCTTGACAAGTGACTCGCATTTATGATGGCTGCAGAGTCCCTGGGTTGTGTGATCCCTGTTTGCGACCTTCTGACAAGCAAAGTCAATGGGGAAAGCCAGATTCCCTTAACAACTGGGTTACTCAGGGGTGGGCGCCAACATTTTTAGCAATGCCCTGTTGCTGGGTGGGTGTGGCCATGGTGGGCGCAGCCTAGTTGGCCTCCTGTACCATGGCAGGGGGGGTGTTTTGCCCTTCCCAGACTCCGGAGGTTTTCTTTGAGCCTCCGGGAGGGCGAAAACGGCCTCCCCCAGACTCCGGAGGCTCTCTGGAAGCCAGAAATGGGCCCATTTCCAGCCCTCCTGAACTTCCAGGAGGCCCATTTTTCACCCTCCCCTTCATGCCCTGCATTTACCTGCATCCAAACCGGGCCAGGTGGGGACTCCTGGGAGGGGAAGGGAGGGGAGAGGTGGGCGGGGCGGGGCCAGCCAGGAGTGGGATTTGGGGGTTCTCCAAACTGCACAGAATCTTAGCTAGGGGCTCTCCCAAACCCCTGAGAGCCCCCAGCAGGCCACTCCTGGTCTTACCAACTGAGCAACTGCAGTGATTCACTTAACAAATCTGGCAAGTGAAGTCGTAAAGTGGGACTAAATTCACTGAACAAATTTTGCACTTAGTAACTTCCCTTGATTTGGAAGTTGCTGTTCTCCTACTTGATGCCCCCATGGAGGCATCATCAACCTCCTTTGCCAAGGGTATATATGCCTGCTGACTCGAATTTCGTCTGTGGTCATGTACATCGTTGGGAATGTTACTCTCACAGGGTATTAGAGCAATCGGATTTGGTTATTCCTTTCCACTTCTTCACCCATGTCATGAGGGCCCAGAGTGGAATGTTGTGTCTGGCCTTGGTTCCTCCTTCCAGCGTTAGTGGCGAACTCTTGAAGAGCATGCCTTGATCGTAGTCAAGGGAAACTGTTTGAGCAATACCAACCAGCCCTTCCCATTGTGACTTCAGTGGGTGTCATTTGAAAATATAGGCGTGGAGCTTGGCAAGGAATCAGCGTGGAGCTTGGCAAGGAATCAGCGA